AAGATTATACAACAGAGGTCACATAGCGAAAAGGAATTTACCGCAAATGCGAATAATGCATACTCTCATCATAGTCGTTAAAAATATTCGCGAGCTGGGATAACTGGCATGATAAATGCTCATCGTAAATCTTCGGATTTTGATTTGAAAACCTGGAAATGGAAAGTGAGAGACGAAGTTTGCATGTTGAGATAGTATAAAAAATATATGACTGAAATATATGACTTGCTAGTTAGATTTGAGTAGCAAGTCATATATTTCAGCATACGTTCCATCTTTTTGGCATTGGAAGTTTTTTTCTAAGTGCCATAGTTAGTGAGAAAATCGTTAAGAATGTTTTTGCCGGAAAACAGAGCGATGAAGATAGAAGAATCATTTTTAGTAAAACAAAACATGACAATTGTAAAAATCATACATAGTTCGAAACTAGACCTTTCATTCTGTCTATTCGTAAAAAAAACTGTTTTTTGGGGGACGCTTTGGAATCGAGAAAATAATGTTTTTTTCTCCGCTAAGTGTTTTCCGAACAGCGGTCCTCCGTACAGTGAGTACGCCAAGTTTAGCCAAGCTCCAAATTCAATGAAATTTTCACAGAAGATGCATCTACTAACGATACATCGATGTCGTTAGCGCAAACTAGCGCAAATATTTCTGGATCGAGTTACAGGTTTTTGAATTAAGTTCAGATTATCTCAGTTTAGGAACATTGAAATTAAAAACCAATAATATATTTGGAATCAGCGCAAAAAACTACGTCGAATGGTGTATAACTCAGCCGTGTTTGTACGAAAACTTCTGAATTTGTTTATTTCTCTGTTTCTTGCATGTAATGTAATGTAATGTGCGTATAGGGATTTTTGACTGAAATTTTAAAATTTGAAATTATCGTCAGACAAAATCGTCTAAACACTATTTCTATAGGTTATCGATGATTCCCTATCCAATGCAATTGTTTTGAGTTTTTTAAAGGTTTCCTAAGTGGTTTTCTAGAGGCCGGATCGTTGGGAAATCACTTAGAAAACTTTTTTAAAACTCAAAAAGCGTTTCATTAGATAGAGCACACAAGATAACCTATAAAAAACGCGCTTTTAAGTTTACTTCTAGCTTGCAGGCCAAAAGATCACGTGCATAGCGAAAATTGCCCACTGTGGCATGTTCAGTGCAAACCGAAAATTTTTTCAAAAAAGAGGAACCATCCTTAAATGTAGTGTTATTGCATATTAGTTTAAGAATATTCATAAATCGATATCTCTGACTTCTGCGTCATCTATATACTCTGTCTGTTAGTCAACGAAAGACACCCAATCAAAATGTGAGAAAAGCATATTGACGATCACATCACTGAATGATTGATTGATTGATCGAAGGTTATATTTAATTACGATAGACTATAGCCAGTCTATCGTTCGAACTTATTTTACTTTGCTGTTTGTTTATTTACATTCGTGCTACGCTATTTCGTTCATCTGAACTATTTTCTACTCATTGTTTCGTATGTAGGCAGTTCATGATGACTCAACGAATCATTATTAGATTTTCGTGTAATTTTTCAGGTTTTGACGAAAGTTTTGGATTTAATTAGAGACTAAATTACTGAGATATTTACCATTCTACACTGTAGAGGGCATTGTTTTTGTAAATATCTCAATAGTTCTCATATAGCATGATAAATGAAACTAATAGTGGACAATTCATTTAGATATCTTTTCTCTGCTCACTTCGACTTTTTTCATCTATCATTCCTATCTTTTGGAAGACGCTGAATTTACTTTTCGTAATAGTCTCTGTTCGGTTGAATTTCTTTTCTTGTTAAATCATTCTATCTTTAATTAATTCGAGATGAATGTGTTATGTGAGAAAAAAGAAACAGATCTAAATGTGTCTTCAACATTAGAAGCAAATAATATTGCATTGGCAGCCGCATCATCTTCAAATACTTCTGTGCCCTCATCAACGTCGTCACCGTCTCCCATGAAACGATCTGCGCCTGAATACGGTAATCTAGTGCATCATGTCTTTACGTAAAAATTATCCTCACTCCGTTTAGAAACAACAGACAGTCTACACGGATATTTTTTTGGACTCACTCTTTTTTTACGTATATTATTAATATTATTTTCGTTTGAACTGTAGAACCAACTGATGCTGACGACGATGTGGATACATTGAAACGGTCGAAACGAACACCTTCATCGTCTTCAACACATTCGACTCTTTCAAACCCTGATGGTAATCAAGTTGAGGAAATAACTAATGGTGAAGATGAAATGTAAGTTTACAAATCAAACAGAATGACATCGAATAATAAAATATATATTTTCATTTGTTTAGATCTAAAAATGAATTAGAAAGTGTGACATCTGATCGTAAGTATTTGACAATTTGTCTACTAAAAATTTTTTAATTGAAAATAAAATTTTTATTATTATTGTTTAGCTACATCAAACTACGATCCATCACCACTACCATCATCATCACAGATTGAGTAAGAAATAGTAATTGTTATTCTGTAGCAAAGGAATTAAACAGCTTTCTGTTTTGGTAGCGATGATGAAGATAGTAGCGAAATGCTTTATCGATTAGCATCAATGAAATCAACCAGCAGTAATCAGAGAATTATAATTATTAAATGTATAGCTGTTATTGTATGTCTCATTCTAGGCATGGACATCGATGATGAAACATCACAATCTGATGATGATAATAGTTTCAAAGTACGAACGACACGAATTATCTTTTCTCGATGATAAAATTGAAATTATTTTATTATTTAAGGGTGTTCCAATTGAAAATTTAACGAATATTTTACAAAATGCACCAAAATTAAGTAACATGGAACACATAATGGATACAAATCATACATTTATGATAAAAGTAATTATTATTTGTAGACCGTTTTTATCAATTTCTGTATAACTAACTCATTCTATTTCAGCCATATAAATATAATGTAAATAATCCAACAGAGCCAGAGCCGAATAATGTACGCTATATTGACAAATGGGATTTTGATCATATAAAAATGCCTTGCTCAGTAAAATATATCAAAGTAATAAAATGATAATGTAAAAAAGACAAAATGAAAAGAATTAATTTGTATTTTCTATAGCGTGACGGTACACAACGATGGCCAATTATTTGTGAAGAATTAAACAAATTAAAAAGTTTGTGTGAAGCTAAAAGTGCAACAACAAAAAATATCAGGGTATCGTTTAAACTTTCTCAGACTAATACTTTTTGTTCCCTCTCAATAATTATCCAATTTTTGAGTAGTTTTATCCTGTAGAGTATCATTTTTTTCGCTCATATTGTTATTTGAATTATCAATTATTTTTATTTAGGAAACCATTGAACATTGTACGGGTCGTGATTGGCAAATTCTGTGTCTTGAGCAACTTTTAAATGAGGTGTGTAAGGTTCGATATTCTCTCTCATTAATCATCATTATTTCTCTTATTAAAATTTTAGATTTATACACCCGAAGATCGTGCACATTTCTTATCCGATGTTTTATTAAATATAATTACATTGGCATTAAAAGTTAATGAAATTTGTGGACAAGTAAAAATTTATACAAAGAAACGATTACTTGTTAATATATTTTATTCTGTAGCCGCCACCATTATTGAAAATTGGTTCGAATCGAGCAGTAACAATGTCACAATTACAATGTGCATCTTTACTATCGTGTGCATTTTTTTGTCTATTTCCTCGACGTCATGAACAACAACCGGGAAGTGAATATGAAACATATCAGAATCCAAATTTTAATACGTACGTTGACAATATTAAAAATCTGAATTTTTAATCTAAATTACAGTTGTGCTTTCTTTTTCTTTGTTTAGCATATTTTTTGGTTCTCGTCATGGTTCTAGTCCATGGAAATTAGAAAAATTAAAATCAATTTTACATTATTTTACTCGTATTACACAAAAAAGTAGGAGATATCGTATTTATTCAAATATACTCTATTTTTCATTATCATTTGTGTTTTAGTGCCTATTGGTGTCTTATCATTTCGTCGCTATTGTCTACCAAAGAGCTGCACACCAGAATGGGGTAATTCATCAAATACATTATGTAAGATACATTTAACAAAAAATAAGACTATTGAAGATATGCACGGTTTCCTTCAAGTATGTTCATTAATCTTGAATAGAAATTGTTTTATTTATTTATTGTAAATATGTTTTTAAAGGTTGATTTTGCAAATAAATACATTGGTGGTGGAGTGATGAATCATGGATGTGTTCAAGAAGAAATACGTTTTGTTATATGTCCAGAAATGTTACTTTCATTATTATTATGCGAAGTTATGGAACCTCAAGAGTGTATTTTTCTTACTGGTACACTAGAGATTAAAGTAGTTCGAATGAGTTTTCTACAATATTATTGTTGTTTTTATTAGGTTGTGAACGTTTTAGTTCTTATAAAGGTTATTCAACAACATACAAATGGCTTGATAATTATGATGATCCAACTCCAAGGTATCTGAAAGTATACATCTAAAAATGAGTCAGTTTTATAATTTTTATTCTAGAGATGAATGGGGACGTCGTTTATGTCATGTTGTAGCAATAGATGCTATATGTTTTAATAATCCTGCAATGCAATGGAATGGTAAATATGTTCGTCGAGAATTATTAAAAGCCTATTCAGCGTTTCGTGTACCTGCTGGTGAAAAAAAATTACTTGAAGGTAAAACAACTTTTATCTTCTTAAGAAAACATATGAATTAATTATGTATCAATTTTAAATTTATAGGAAATGTAGCAGGTATAGCTACTGGAAATTGGGGTTGTGGTGCATTTCGTGGCGATAAACAACTGAAAGGTAGTAAATATGATTTATTAATATGAGAACTAGATAATATTTTTATTGTTTCTTATTTGTTTTCTTGTAGCCATAATTCAATTAATGGCTGCATCTGAAGCTGAACGTCCGCTAATATATATTACGTATCATGATCGTGTTTTGGTTGATACATTTTCTAAATTATATGATTATTTAATTCAAAAAGATGCAAGAGTGAAAGATTTATATAAATATTTAGCAGAATATTCACAAATTGAGACGAATCTAGATATATTTGATTATATATTGACAACACCAATGGCAAGTGAAAAATTAGTGACAACTAATAAAAATACCACCAATAATACAACATCGGATGAGACGAATATCGAATCATCGACAATTACAACGAAACAAAATGATGATAAAGATTCGTAAAATGATACGACACTTTAATATTAAATAGTATTTCCTATTGTGATCAATAAACAAAATTCACTTATTCTGTCTGTTTGTTCATGTTTTTTCTCTCTCTCACTCTCTCTCTCTCTCTGTTTTCTGTATGAAAAACATATTTATATATTTGTGTAATTCTTCTTCTGTCCATATCTGTGATTGATTTATTCATTTTTACTTTACATGTTTATGTAGGTTTAAAACATATATAAAATAAATCTAAACATGTCTTTGTTATTTTAGAACGTTTCTTTTATAAATGTGTTTGTGTATTGGGATTCTATGACAATAATGTAATTTTGTTTTTACAGATAAGTGTGCACATTTTTATCTCATTCGTAACTGACAAATATATATATATATAATAGAAAAGAATGGTCGATGTGGTATGCTTTGAATTGAATAAAAATGACATTCTGAAAAGGGATGAATAGATTGAACTATTTTTTAGTCTATAATTATGCCTATGAGAAATGCATCACAATGGTTACCAGACACATTTAAATCATTGATAGAACAAAATTTTACTGGAACTATGGAACTTTCTCTTTATAATGATGGAAGCACGGTACGAAATCACATGAGTATTTGTTTAAAGATTGAATATGAACACAAATAATATCTTTTGATCGAATTGAAATCTTTAAACAAATGTTATAACTTGAAAAAAAGTAAACTCTTTTCTCACTACATCTTTGGATACTAATTCACTCCTATAGTGCCACTATTCACCTATGAATACACCAAAAATATGATAATACATATTCTTTTTTGTGATGCTAAAAAGCATTAAAGTAAAATTTAAAGTGAATTATACATGGATACTTTGAATGTAAGATATTTCAGGATAATTCAATTGATATCGTTCATGAATGGGAACCTTTATTGACGCCCATGTATAAAATTATTATAAATGGACATAAAGAGGAGAAGGCACGTGGTGGTAAGAATATATAGTTTACTAGTTGTATGTCCATTTATACGTAATGATTTGTTTTTATTATTTTAGCTGGATATTGTCGAAATCGTGCAATCGATGCAAGTGCAGGACGTTTTTTATGTTTATTAGATGCTGTAAATATTTATTTGCAAAAATAGTTTTTATATTATTTGAATCTTGATTGTCTTTTTAAGGATGATATTATGTTGAAAGATCGTATAAGATTACAATATGAATTTGCATGCAATAATGAATCAACGTTAGGTTAAACAAAAGTCTGTTAAACAGTTCTCATTTTCTAATATTATTTTTATTTGAATATATTTATAGTTGGTTGTAAATATGAACGAATTCCTAGTGGCTCAACGGAGAGATATACAAACTGGTGTAATAATCTTACAGATGAACAACTATACACGCAAGTATAGACATATTAGAGTTTGAAATATAATTCATGATTATCTTTATTCATCTTACTAAAAAGATTTATCTTGCTCATGGACCAACAATTATCATGCCCACGTGGTTTTTATCAAGAAAACTTTATGATAGTGTGGGCGGATTTGATGAATATGCGATTGTATGTTAAATATATTGTATTATACTATTTCACTTGATAAATGCACTTGTTTTCTTCATTCTTCTTCACAGGGCTATTGTGAAGATTTGACCTTTTTTTACAAACATTTAAGAAAAGGTAGGTTATTCATAGACAATTGTGTATCAAATAGTATTTGGCATATTGTCTGATTTTATGTGGTAAACTACATCGAATTGATCAAATTCTACTATATTATCGATATCATTTGGGTGCAACAACTTTCATTATACATGAGTAAGAAAACTGTGTATAAAGAAGTTTATACTTATACGACAGGCTATCGTCTCTTTTCATAAATTCAGAAATCTTATATGGTCTGTGCGTATAAATGAAATACAAATGAATGTCATTGATCAATTAGAAGAATTTACAATCTGGAATGCCGGGCGGCAGGTAGGAAAAAAATTGTTGAATTCTATTCTATTTAAAACTTTGTTATCCGTTCAAACGACGACTCTTGTCAACATTCTCGCATATTTTTCTAGCAGATTCTTTGTATGTCATATTAAAAACAATAAAATGAAAACATATCGAGAACGAAGTATCGAGATACATAAGTTAGAGTGGAAGATCTTCTATAAACATATTAATATTCTTAATTCATAGTACTTCATTCATATTTAATAGGGAAGAAGATTTTATCAGTCATTAAACGCCAACAATAAAGCAAAAGTAAATTTATTTTATTTTATTTATTCTATCATTTTAATATGTCTTACATGAAATTTTTAATAGGTCACTTGTTTTTGTGATGTTGATCAGAAGAAGATATCAAAAGGATTTTATACAGATGAATTTTCGAATGTATGTAAGATGAAATTATCTATGATTAGCAGGCATCTCTTGTGCTAACTCTTTTTCTAACAGTAAAACAATATGAAATATTCGTTTAGGAGAAGCGAAAAATTCGAATTATACATTTTTCGGAAATGAAACCACCAGTAATTATATGTGTCAAATTGGTAGGAGTCATTAGTTTGTGTAAATTATAATCCTAAACATTTTGTTTTCTTCATCAATTTAAGGCAATGACAAATGGTGAATTTGAAAACAATCTGGCAATGATGAACCTCATTGAGGGGATTGATTATTGGCTATTTTGTTAATAATTGTTCGAACGTTTGTTTTTATATGAATAAATAAATGATCTATGTTTAACATGGAACAACGTCTATATTTAACAAAGTAGAACAGAAAAATTAACAACAAAGAAAAATAAAAGATTGGCTGACTAAATGCCAAAATAAAATGAACTAAGAATTGTGTAATAATCGACACATTTGATTATTTTTATCTGTAAACGAATAATCAATACCTGGATATGTTCGTGTTCGATTTTTAAACCATCTATAAGATTGTTTTTGTTTTATCGAATAGAAATTTTCAATATTATCACTAATAGAAGAACAAAACAACTACTCTTTAATATCGTAGTTTATATTTGGTCATTTTAAATGACTTACTGTACTTGAATTGGCTGAATCGTCATTTGCATACATACACAAATTGGACTATCCGCATAATCAACATCTGTTGTATAATCTACGATTGTATTTGCACTTATTGTTAGATTAATTCCAGTTGTTATAATATCGAATAATATATTAATATGACTTCGAATAGTAAAACCAGTACTAAAACATAAAATTAAAACAACATATTTTATATGAGCATATTTAGTTTTAAAAAAATACTTATTTACCTTACTCTTATTACTAAATGGGAGTTTCTATTCCAGAGACTAATTGATGCCATACCTGATAAATCTAAAGATACGGCACTTTGTGCTTCATAATGAACAACTATACCATTGTGAAGATGAATATAATGTGATAGATCATGTACCATTAAATTACTCTAATTTTTAAAAATTTTTGTTTAAATATGAAAAAATATTGTTTTATTTTGATATTTACCTTAAATGCGGACGTTAATTCTGATGGTGCACCCCAAACAGCTCCCATTAATTCTGCCATACCTTGAAATAATTCCACGGGTGTTAATTGTATATTTAATATATTTATTCTTAATTGTGCATGTAATTCTTCTTCTTGAGCACTTTGATCTAACTCATCAACATTATCTGTCACATAAGATTCTAAACCTTGTGCACTAACACCAAACTAAAAATGAAAGAAGAAGAAGAAGAAGTTGATGAATTATTTTAATAATAATAACAAACAAGATTATGTCCTACTGAAAGTATTTCATAAACATCTTTTGTTTCATGTTGTTGAAGATTAATAATAAAATCACTTTCTTTTAAAGTACCCATTCTACTCATTAATTGTGATATCGTATAGTATGTACTAAAATTATTTGTCGTTAAAAATGGACGATAATAATAGTCTGATTGACCTTTGTAGGCTAATGCGTCAAAATTTAATAGAATCATTTGTTGATCAATAATAAATTTTAACTTTTTACTACAATAAAAAATAATATTTTTAATTATCATTTTTTTTATTTTTAATCATTTACATAAAATTTTGTCAAACTTACGCTAATAATTCATTATTTTGTGATATTGTGTTAATAGCACGCCACATATAAAGTCCTAATTGATGATTATTTTTATCTAATGTTGATAAAATAATGTTTACAAAATCCGGTATTGAAATATTAGTTTTTAATAAAATTAATCCGGCCAATTGACGAATTTGAATACCATATGATCGTCTATTATGTTCATGATACAATGAACGAATTAAACTGATTACCTGTGAATATAGAAAAGATTAATACGAAAAAATTCATTTAATTTAAGTGGTGAAATTTTGT